CCAATCTTTATTGATAAAAATCTTGCACCCAGAAATTATTTGAGCTAATAGCATCACCAAGAATTGTAATAGATAGGTTAGTTCCCTGAGGATTCGACTCCGGACTTAAAAACCGGATTATATTTGCGATGATCGCTTTGTCTTTAATAAGGCATAGTTGGGCGTGATCAAATTTTGGCGTCATTGCCGGGGAGCTAACGGTGTTATTTACTACCACTTAGAAGCAGTGCTAGAATTATTAGTTCATATCAATTTTCTACGGTGTTAAACAATTTTTTTTAATTGAAATTCTCACGTTTGAAATCTTGTGGGATTCAGGTGTATGCCTAGAGATTCTTCGAGGACTGGTGAACTACTCGAAGGACTCTAAGAACCCGAGAAAACATTCAGGGCATTAAACCGTGCAGACATGAAGAACAAACAATCACAAGAAACACGCCAACTGGAAATTGACATGGGTGACGTAGATAACGTCAATGGAAATATCAGGGATGGGCAAGCTGACCCAAACGTCAGAGTGGTGGCACCTCTTGTGCCAGAAGTTGCACTTTATGATTGGGCAAAACCAACAGCTGACAACCTGGCCACTGCCATTGATGTGCCCCCAATACAAGTAGAGACATTCCAGATAACCAACAACATGCTGCATCTTTTGCAGAATAAGGGATTGTTCTCCAGGTCACACATTGAAGACCCTCAACAATACTTGAAAATTTTTTTGTCGATTTGTGTGACCCAAAGGCAGCCAAATGTGACCCCAGAAGCTATCAAGTTGTTATTTTTTCCGTTCTATGTGACTTGGGAAGCTCAGACTTGCTAAATTTGCTCCCAATAAATTCCATTATCACCTAGGAGGAATTAGTGAAGCAGTTCCTGAACAAGTTTTACCCGCCTAACAAGATTGCAAGATATATTGATGAGATATTGCAGTACAAGCAGCAGCCTACTGAGACCTCGTAGGAAACTTAGGAAAGTTTCGAAGGGATACTAGTGAAGTGTCCCCACCATGGTATTCAAGACCAGGTGCTCGGCCAGAGATTCTATATGGGGTTAGCAGACAATTTAAAGGCCAATGTAGATGCTTCAGCTGGGGGTGCATTTTTTAGCAAGACATTCACATAGTGTAAAATCCTTCTAGACAAGATGTCCCAGAATTCGAGGTGGATGACGAGAGGTACGACCCTGGCACCAATAGTGCATTCAGTTCCTCTTGACCTAAATAATTTGCATGCAGAGAACATAGCCACACTCATGACTCAGATGAGTATATTGACAAAGAAGATTGATGAGATGGGTACAAAGCAAGTGCATATCGTTGACACAACAAATGGAAGACTATGTACACCTTGCATTAATCAGTCTTATGTGTGTTCATGGAGTGGAGAAGGTGAGAACCAAGGATTAAGAGAGGATATGAATTATATCGACAACTTTGGGGTCAGAGACAAGGAGGACAACAGTGGAGACCAGCACCCAATCAACAGTACAGACCAAACATGCCACAGCTTGGAGGTATGCAGCCCCAAGGCCAAATGGTGCCATATCAGAGACAACAGGGCTAAGAACCAACAACAGTTCGCATATTAGCTACCTCCTCAGCAACTGGATAGCAACATGGTAGAAATTAGGGGTATGCTTCAACAATTCATTGGAACAAATGGTAAGATGCAGGAAAAGTTTGCAGTGCATGACTCAACAATAAAGAATATTGAAACTCAATTGGGGCACTTGTCCATGGCCTTAAACAATCTCCCCCAGGGAACATTGCCAGCAGACACAAACATTAACCCCAAGGAGCAAAACCCAAATCAGATGATGGCAGTAAGTCTCCGAAATGGGAGAGATTTAGACAGGGAGCAAGAAGTTGCACAATCTAGTAGAGAGACTACTCCAGCCACTCCAATTCCATTGAGGGTAGATGCATCAGCAAACCTTACTGAAGTGGTGGTTGAACAGGTTCAGGATGATAGGGGTAAGGCTAAAAAGAGTAAACAAGCTGCAGAACAGGTGGTACCTCTTGTGCTACAGAACCCCAACAAAGAGAAGCCAGCAAACAGTGCACAAAGGGTGATACCTGCGCCATTCCCTCATAGACTGGCAAAACAAAAGAAGGAAGATCAATAAAGGAAATTCATGGAGATGCTTCGTCAAATTCAATTGAATATTCCTCTGATGGATGCTTTGAGGGAGATGCCAGGCTATGCAAAGATGACGAAGGACCTAATGTCATGAAAATTTGACTTTCAGGACCAATCCACAGTAACTATGACACAGACATGCAGTGCAGTGGTGACAAGACCTATGGCTCAAAAGATGTCTAACCAGGTAGCTTCACTATCCCGTGTACTGTTGGGAGTTATGCCTTTGCAAACGCATTGTGTGAATTAGGATGCAGCATTAACTTGATGCCTTTGGCAATATATACAATACTGGGCATTGGCAGAGCTAGACCAACTTTGATGCTTTTGTAACTGGCTGATCGCGCGGTTAAAAGGCCGACAAGGATTCTTGACAATGTGTTGGTACAAGTGGGGAAGTTTGTATTCCATGAAGACTTTGTTATTTTGGATTTCCAGGTAGATGAGGAGATACCCATCATTCTAGGGAGGCCATTCTTAGCCACTCGGAGAGCAATGATCGATTGTGAAACTAGGGAATTAAAATGAGGTTGAACGATGAAGAAGTTATATTCAACATTTAGCAATCCATGAGGAGACCCAGTGAATATGCTACTTGCTCCCTACTGGAGGCAGTGGATGTGATACTGCTTGAAGATGATGAGACCCTAACTGCTAAAGATCCATTGGGGGCTTGCTTGACAAATTTAGAGGAGATGGATGGTGAAGTGTTAGCAGAGTGGGTCATGGCACTCGAAGGCCAAGGATTCTAGAAGTCGGAACCTCATTTTGAGTTCCTTGAGTTAGAAAAGAGGGCTACACCATCGGCAAAACCATCAGTAGAGGAACCACCCAAACTGGAGCTGAAATCGCTTCTAGTTCACCTCAGGTATGCTTTCTTAGGGCCTAATTCTACTTTACATGTTCTTATATCATCCGGTTTGCGAGCTGTGTAAGTAGAGCAACTCCTACAGGTGTTACAGGAATGTAAGACTGCCATTGGTTGGACCATGGTGGACATAAAGGGTATCAGCCCAGCTATTTGTATGCACAAGATTTTCTTGGAAGAAGGGCACAAACCTTCCAGAAAACATCAACGAAGGCTGAACCCAAATATGAAAGAGGTAGTGAAGAAGGAAGTGATCAAATGGTTAGATGCGGGTATCATCTTCCCCATCTCTGACAGCAATTGGGTCAGCCCTGTTCAGTGTGTGCCGAAAAAAGGAGGAATAACAGTCGTACAAAATGAGAATAACGAGTTGATCTCGACTCGTACAGTCACGGGATGGCGGATTTGCATGGATTACCGCAAATTGAACACAGACACTCGGAAGGACCATTTCCCCTTGCCATTCATTTACCAAATGTTGGACAGGTTGGCTGGGTGATCTCACTTCTGTTTCTTAGATGGATATTCGGGGTACAATCAGATCTCAATAGCCCCCGAAGACAGAGAGAAAACATCCTTCACCTGTCCGTATGGCATCTTTGCCTTTCGGAGAATGCCTTCTTGGCTTTGTAATGCACCAGCTACATTCCAATGTTGCATGTTAACATTTTTCACGGACATGGTTGAAGACATTATGGAAGTATTTATGGATGATTTCTCCGTGGTGGGGGATTTATTCGAGGACTGTCTTCACAACTTAAGAACAGTGCTCAGAAGATGTGTGGAGACGAATTTAGTAGTGAACTGGGAAAAATGCCATTTTATGATACAAGAAGGGATTTGTCTTGGGGCATCGAGTGTCCAGTAAGGGAATCGAGATTGACCATGCTAAGGTTGATGTAATTGAGAAGTTGCCACCGCCTACTTCAATCAAGGCAGTGAGAAGTTTCCATGGGCACGCCAGGTTCTACAGGCGATTCATAAAAGATTTCTCTAAGATTTCTAACCCTTTATGCAACTCCTTGAAAAGGATCAGCCATTTGTGTTTTCTAATAATTGCAGGTTGGCATTCGAGGAGCTGAAAAAGAGATTGGTGATTGCACCCATCATTGTTGAACCCAACTGGGAGCAACCGTTCGATCTCATGTGCGACGCAAGTGACTATGCTATAGGATCAGACTTGGGGCAGCGAAAGGATAAACGGATGCATCAGATTTACTATGCAAGCAGAACGCCAAACGGTGCACAACTCAATTACACTGTGACAGAAAAAGAGATGTTGGCTGTTGTTTTTGCATTCGACAAATCAAGTCATACATGATTGACTCAAAATTTATTATTTATACTGGCCATGTAGCAATTAGATACTTGATAGAAATGAAGGAGTCAAAGACACGCTTGATTCGCTGGGTTCTTTTGCTATAAGAATTCGATCTGGAGATCCGGGACAGAAAAGGGATAGAGAACCAAATAGCTGACCACCTCTCAAGGTTGGAAGGAGCTGAAAAGAAGGTAGAGGTTAAGGATATAACAGAGACATCCCGGACGAACAGTTACTAGTAGTGACAATGGAGGAGACACCGTGGTATCCTGGTATTTCTAATTATTTAGCAAGTGGTATTGTACCTTATGAACTCTCTTTAATTCAAAAGATAAAGTTCTTTCGCGATTGTCGGTCTTATTATTGGGATGAAGCTCTACTGTTTAAAATATGTGCAGATAACATGATCCGGAGGTGTATCCCTGAGAAAGACCAATATTCTGTTTTGCAGGCTTGCCATGCTTCACCATATGGTAGACACTTTGGAGGAATTCGGACAGCAGCTAAGGTGTTGGAATCGGGTTTATATTGTCCAACTCTATTCAAGGATGCTCACGCTTGGGTCAAAATTATCGATGAATGCCAAAGGACAGGCAACATATCTCGCCGACACGAGATGCCAATGACTACAATTCAAGAGGTGGAAGTTTTTCACATGTGGGGGATCGACTTCATGGGGCCGTTTGTTAGATCGTATGGGAACAAATATATATTGGTGGTGGTTGACTGTGTCTCCAAGTGGGTCAAAGCGGTGGCTCTCCCAACCAATGATGCAAAAGGGGTAACAAGCTTTCTAAAGAAAAACATCTTCACACGTTTTGGCACCCCAAGAGCTATAATCAGTGATGGTGGAACCCATTTTTTCAATAGAGAATTCGCACAGATATTGGAAAAGTATGGAGTTCGTCATAAAATGACCACCCCTCATCACCCACAGCTGAGCGGGCAAGTTGAAGTGTCCAACAGGAAAATTAAAAGTGTCCTTACAAAAACAATGAATGCAACAAGGATCGATTGGCCAGAGAAGCTGGATGATGCATTGCGGGTGTATCACACAGCCTTCAAAACTCCAATTGGTATGTCACCGTACAAGATGGTGTTTGTAAAGGCATGCTACCTTCCGGTAGAGCTCGAACATAAAGCACTTTGGGCAATGCGGCAGCTGAACTTGGGTATGGAGACAACAGGCACCAACAGAGTCACTGGTTACATGAGCTCGAGGAATTCAGGTTCCAGGCATTTGAGAGTGCTAGATTATACAAAGAAAGGATGAAACTAATGCATGATAAGCACATCTTGGATCGGAACATCAAATCTGGAGAGCTTGTGTTGTTATACAACTCCAGATTGAGATTGTTTCCGGGTAAGTTGAAATCTCGATGGTCAGGACCTTTCAGAGTGGTGCAAATATTCTTAAGTGGAGCTGTAGAGATTGAATCAGAAGATGGGACGAATAAGTTCACAATGAATGGGCAAAGATTGAAACATTACCTTGGAATGGCAGAAGAAAAAGGGGATAGAGAGATAATAACTTTGGAAGAACCCCAGTACGCGAATGAGGAGTGATGATCACATGCCTGCATCGTGCCGCGACGTTAAATTAGGCGTTGCATGGGAGGCAACCCATGAATGTTGTTGTTTTTGTTTTCTTATGTAACCTTAAACAATAATCCTCGCACCGCAACCGCGGTCAATGACGAGTGTTCTGCATCGACGTTACTCGCCACACCGCGATCACGGTGGGACCGTGGTAGGACCGCGGTGAAACGTAAACATTCTACCTTGAATTCTTTCACTCACCGCGGCCGTGGTAGGACCGCGGTCGACCGCGGTGCGATACGAAGTCACCCAGGTAAGTTTATTTTCGTTTTATTTTTTTCCTCCCCTTATTTTACTAAAACAACCGATACCCACCCCCCCCCCCCAATTCCCCCCATCTCCTCTCTCTAAACCCTGAATCAACACCCCTCTCCTCATCTCTTCTTCTTCTTCTTCACTTTTCTCACGATTACTCCCATCTCCTACTCTCACTCCATTTCCATTCATCTCACCCTCTCTTACATCAAGGTATGTCACTCTCCCCAATCTCTTGTATTGTATTTTTGTTTTAGTTTTATGTTAGTTCAATGTTTAATTGTGTAGTATCTCTAGTAGAATTTTTCTTTTAATTTTCTTTTTTTTGGATTTTTAATGGGGTATGTGGACGATGTTGTAGAGAGGTGTGTGCACATTGTTGTAGAGAAGTGTGTGCTTGTGCGTGTTAGACTAATTGTTGTGGGGTGAAATGATGTAGTACAAATTGTTGATTTGGGGGATGAATTGATGTATCCATGAGGGCTAATGTGTTAAGATAGTGCCTTGCTCACAAGGTGTTTGTGGAGTTGCCCCAATGGCGTTCTAAGGGCTAATGTGACCATAGTAGTGGTGAAGTCTGAGTAACCACTCATGGTTCACACAACTCACACCCTCACTGATAGGAGATTCTATGTTTGGCAGTTACAATGCATCCATCTAGGAAGAGATGCAACACAGGGTCCTCCGCTAGTGGACCGGGCAGTTCTTCGAGAGCTCGGGGTCAAGCTAGTGCGGCACAGTTTGACCGTGCTAGGTTTGTCTCCAAACCGGTTGAGGATAGGTATAATGCCAAGGCATCAAAGAAATTGTTACCGGAGGTGCATATTGACCGGGAAGCTTTGTAAGTGGAATGCCCAAATATCTTTGCTGATTTGAGGAGGTGTCAGCTGGATATCTTCTTTGAGGAACCGGAGGAGGCGAATGTACAGTTGGTGAGGGAATTTTATGCTAACTACCCAAAATATAAGAATGGGGTAGTCACAGTAAGCAACACCCGGGTCAATGCGTCCCTCGAGGCCATCTGCCGAGTGTACCGGCTGCCAGTATTCACGGGGAAGAGAGGTACTTACATTGCTTATCATCGCCCAATGATCTATTGGGTACCAATTCTTGAAGTAATATGTGTGCCTGACAGGGAGTATATATGGATAAAGCACCGGATCACATTGAACTCATAGTCTCTCAATTGGGAGGCTAAGTATTGGCTCACCATTATCAACAGTAGCTTGCTACCCTCTAGCAACACGACCGATGTCAATGGGCCACAAGCAGCAGCTATCTACAGTTTTATGAACCACAAGATTTTGATGTCGCCAAGCTCCTCCATGATGAGACGTTTGTTCGCTCACCTGAGATACTTAAAAGATTTTACTTCCCCTCTCTGGTTACGAAGTTATGCCGTGCTGCCCGCGTTCCTGAAAATCTCAGAGCTGATGGGAAACTACCATTGAAAGCCCCGTTCCGGGCTAGCAAAATCACAATTGGTAGAGATCCGGTAGTGATGGTTGAGGATGATGATGAAGTTGATGAGGAGGATGAGGATGCTGCTGTCCCACCACCAGTGAGAGCTGATGAGGCGGGCCCATCATAGGCCCGCCGAAGTACCCGTCTGACAGTCCTGGAGCAAGAAATGGCTGGTCTCCGCACGTCTATCACTGACCTGGGCACCAGAGTTGACAATCTGACCACTCAACGGGCCAAGTCGGAGAAAATGATTATGGGATAGCTTCGAGCGCTAGGAAGAGCATGTCACCTCGATCCTGGTACCGTATCTGATCAAGATTTAGCTTCAGGGAAGTCCCCTTACCTTACTATGCTTTTTATTTATTGACATGGGGACACGCCATAGTTTTATGTGTGGGGTGGGGGATGGTTGTTGTTGTAAAAAGATTGTATAACTTTGTATGATGTTGCTTTCTTTTTTATTGTTTGGTAATTTAGGGTCACATTAGTTAACTTCGACTTGGCCCGAAGACGGACACCTTTCGACAGGTTTCTTGAGGGACATTAGTCGAACAAAAAAAGGGATATAAGGACTCTTCCTGATGACAGATATTCTAGACAGTTTCTTGAGGGAAGTAAGTCTAGAGAAAATACAAAAAAAATGTTTTTTTTTTATTTTAGGTAGTACGTAACTCCCCCTTGGTTTTTCTTTGGGTCACGGTTCTTTTCCAAGGGTTTAGCTTGAACCGGGTGTAGGTACTTTTTGTTTATTTTGTTTTTAGTTTTTAGTTAGTATTGATGTGTTACGAGCTGAATTAGAAAGAGAAACCCTTGGCCTTAATACACCTGAACACAGTAGACACTAGAGTGTAACGCTTAGTCTCAGTGGTTTACTCTTGCTAAAGTGCCTCAAATTGTATGTTTGTAACTAACTTGAACACTCAAGAGAGAGTGTCTTGATAAGCCAATCTGGAGTGAGCCATGTGCCGTGTGTGTGTGAGTTGTACTGTATTCTATACTTTACATTTGATGCCTAGAACTTGTCTTGTGTGTTTGCAAAGCGAAATATTAGCTTCATTCAGTCTTAGAAGTGATATAGGCATTTCTTTGTTAAGCCAGATATATAAAGTAGACCCAGCTAAATGTAATACATCGTAGTCAACCCCGTTGAGCCTATAAGCCTGTTTCTTTGGCAACCACATTGCGAACCATACCCAGTTGTTTGAATAGTCATCTGTTTGAATCCATTTTACCTCCCATGAGCACTTAAATGGCCTTGAGATATGCAAAAGTGAAAGTGTGGGGTGGTGGTTTTGTTTTTGAGTGGAACCAATGAAATAGAGGAACGGTGCAGTTTTTGGAAAAGTAAAAGAAGAAGCACCACGTAAAAAAAAGAATGAATAAATGTAGTAGTAGATAAGTGGTGGCTTGATACAAATGCACCTAAAGGAATGGGATGTTATAAATAAAAATGTGGTGGAACGTCTGGTTGACATAAGTATGATTTTGAAGATTAATGTGATTGTATTAAAAGTGCTTAGGGAGGTTAGTCACTATATCCAAATATATCCTACCCATCCCTTAGCCTACATTACAACCAAGTGAAGTCCTAATTGATCTTAGACTGAATAGGCTCGATTAGTAGAGTAGTAGACTACGGGCAAGCCTATGGTGCATCTTTGTGGCATGTGAATGTTCTTTTTGAGAGTGAGCGAATTTTGTCTATCTGAGTTCCTAATTGTTCTTAATAATATTATTTGTGGAACTACTATCTTGTGTGACATGAGGGCATGTGATTCACGAAGAAAAGGTAAGTCTTGACTTCTCTATAGAGTAGTTTGAGTAAGTGCGACTATTGCACGGCACGCGAGATTCGACTTTTGAGGCAAAGGTTGTTCACTACTAGGTGCAACTTTGGTGAATTGTTCTTGGTGTGATACGTTAAAGGAAAAGTTCGGGGAAGGAACTTTGATAGAGTGTGGTGGATTGCTCTAGGACTAGCAATGAATTAAGTGTGGGGTGTTGATAATAGGCTATATAGACGATATTTACATCCTAAATACACCATGCTTTATTGTTGTTTTAAAGGCTAAATGATAACAAAATGCTCTAATTGGTGTTCTTTTGCTTCGCAAGAACTAATCCAAGTTAGGAAGAACTATGGAGTGTTTTGGAGTCAATAATATGGGGAAAAAAGGCCAATCAAGAAGCACCCGAGCGGAAACAAGCAAAAAGAGGACTGGGCTTGAAGCCAACGCGACCGCGGTCGATCGCGGCTGGATCGCGGTAGGCTAAGGAAGCGAGGAAGAATGATTGTCTCTCACCGCGGTCGCGCCGCATTTTGCCGCGGTCGCGGTGAACTGTGCAGCTGCCTAGAACTTTTGGGACCAAAGTGTAAATTAGGGAAAACTTATTGCAAAACCTTATAAACTCAAGAAGCTCGCCCAAGGAAGTTTCAAGCTTGTCTTTAGGCTAATTTGGAGGCAAGAACAAGTGTGAGAAGAGCAACCAAACATTAGAGTTTTTCTATCTTCTCTTTATTCTTTTAATTGCTCATTATGAACACTTTTGTAATTTTATCTTGCGTTGCTATGAGTAGCTAAATATTTAATCTAGGGTTGATGGAACCAATTGTTGGATGAAGTTTTGACTCAATTTTGTTAAAATCGAGACAGTTTTATTATATGATTGTTCAACTATGTTGTGTATGGTGATTAATTAAAAGGGCCCTTGATTAATCGTGTCTAATTTCCTTGTGTTGCTTAAGAAAGAATACTAGGTTAGACTATTGTTGAACAACACCACTTTTGGGTAATTGAAGAGATTCATTACTTGAACTTAAAAGTGGGGTTAGAGATAACGAAACTTTGGTGGGATAATTCAGACTGCATAAATTATCAACTAGAGTAGTTCGAGAGAATGCTCTAGTAAATTATTGTAGTTGATCGAGAGATAATTGCGATAACCCATAGCTCATAATCCTCATAGAGTATTACGGCGGGATTATAGAAAAAGAGTTAAGACCTAAACTAGCAATTGGATAAATCAATACCCTAGACCTTTTTACTATTGAATTATCTTTGATTTAGAATACTGTTAGTTTCAATAGCATTTTGAAGTAGTTAAACAAAAAAACCCGATCTTTATTGATAAAAATCTTGCACCCGGCAAATCGTTTGAGCTAATAGCATCACCAAGAGTTTTAATAGATAGGTTAGTTCCCTGAGGATTCGACTCCGGACTTAAAAACCGGATTATATTTGCAACGA